AAAGCTATAAAACAATCAGAACTGATGTTCCTTTAAATGGGTTCATATTTTCTATTTAACTAAAATGGCTAGTGACTGCTAGTGTCACCATTTATGCATTTTAGGTAGCCTATGTGAAATGATTTTGCTGTTCTTCTAGTCTCTGTTGAACAAATAGCTGCACCATAAAAACAAATGACATCAGCTAGCATCCTCCCTTATTGGCAAGGCTGACAGGGTTTGCAGGGAGACTGGGGTCTGAACTGCTGAATGCAGAGCAAACACTACTCCTTTTCCCAAACTGCTTGTCTCTCTGTCAAAAGACTTAGGTATATCTGAAGATTCAGGGCATTTACATTTGCCTGCCTCGTCCTCTCCTGTGGATCAGGAGAGAACCGTAGTTTCCTTAGATGCCATCCTCGTGCATTTTCAGAACATTGAATTTCCATTAAAAGAAGCCAGATTCTTAGCTGGTGAGAAATAATCTCTTATTCCATAAGAAATACTTATGCTTCAATTCTTCTTGATTGGGCTTTTCTTACCTCATACCTCTGATTTTGAATTATTGTAGAGAAAGGCAGTTTAGCCGACAGTGTATTTCCTACTTTAGGTCTTTGCTTTTTAAAAAATTCTTCATCAGCCCTTGACTTTTGAACATAAAATGATTATGCTGGGACAAGCTGTTAAACCTAAGCTCCAATTTGTCATTCCTCTCACATTTGCTGCAGTTTGTGCTGCAGAACAGAGGGTTCGTAGCAGAGCGGGCTGTAAGAGCCCATATTTCTTACCCTGCAGCGCCACCAAAGGCTGTTGGGGAAAAGTTAACCCGAAAGGTAAACCCACATGAGCCTGGCTGGCTGCATGCAGCCAAAGGCTGTTTCAGATTTAGGACTAGTCCCTCAACGTCATGCCTTCCCAGTGCTTGTTCTGACTAGTGAAGGCTGATGTGGCAGCAGTGAATATCTCTGTCAACGTTCCTGACTATTGCAGACACTGAGGAACACCTCATTTATAGCCACCACCAAGAGGACAAGCAAGGTGGATGCAGTGTTAGGAATAATCCAAAAGTTGCTTGAAATAGAGATCACATCCCCAGGGAAGCTAGCAAGAGATGAAGACTTCTCTATTTAGGGACTCAGAGCTTCATATCTGAGAACAGTTACTAAAAAAATCCATGCATGAAAAAGGTGTAATGCTTTTCAATAGGAATTTGCCTGTGAGTCTTAGTTGGAGATTTCATATTCTCCCATTTATTCCCCACCAACAACAAAGACCAGTTAAATGGCTGCCTGTACACACCCCGTGGCCGAGAGCTACTTTGCCTGGTACCAGATGCAGTCCTAGCAATGCTGCACACCCTCCCTCCTTTCTTTCTCACATCTGTCACTTTGCTCATGAAGTTCTTCCCTTGGGGCAATTTTAATATCATATTTCTAATAGCTAGTGTCAGATTTGATCTCACAGATTTTGATTAATTTTCAACTCTTTTGCAAACTCTTGTGCCCTTCCCCTAGAGATGAATTAAGGCCTCACCTCCGTTGATTAGGAAGCTGATTCTCTGAAAATCTCCTTTGTAGGAAAGAAGGGCTTTTGAGAGGAAACGAAAATCAGCTCTAGACCATTTTTCAAAAACAAAAGTTGAGGAGGGAAGAGGAGAGGTGGTCTCTTAGAAAGAATAGTCTTCAGGAATGGAATAAAAAAAGGCTTCTGAAAACACAGAAAAATGGAATGAATACAAAAAGATATTCAGAACTGTATCAAATGAGGAATGATTGCCAGGTGACCATGTTAATGGGATAAGAATTAGATTGTAATGCTTACTATAAAACTTGCATATGAATGTTTATATCTGTGTCTTCATGATACTAGGATGTACATGTATACCAGAGCTAACATAGTTTAGATGGGTGAAGCACATATGTTCCAGTACTTCACTGGGCTTTCCAAATCATAGAATCAAAGAATCATAAAATCAGCCAGGTTGGAAAAGATCTCAAAAATCAACTAGTCTAACCCTACCATGGTTACTAGACCATGGCACTAAGTGCCACATCCAGTCTCACCTTATAAACCTCCAAGGATGGTGATTCCACCACCTCCCTGGACAGCCCATTCCAATGCCTGATCAATCTCTTCCTAATATCCAACGCAAATGTCCCCTGGCAGAGCTTGAGTC